GACAATAATAGTCACGGTCAGACCCGTGACTATGACCGTGACTATTTTCAAAATTTGAAAATAGTCACGGTCATAGTCACGGGTCTGACCGTGACTATTCCGATTAAAGGCGTCTCTGACCGTCGGCACTGACATCGTCAATTACGAAGGGGTTAGTCACGGTCAGGACCGTGACTATGACCGTGACTAAAAAATTATATAAAAAAAACACTTAGCGTTTTTTTTAAAAAGCTACGCACTCAAACTCCCAAATCCTAACTTCCTCTTCCTTCTCTCTTCCCTCTCTTCCAGTTTAGATTGTGCCGCCGCCGCCTAGCCGTCGCCGCCTCGCCGTCGCCGCCTAGCCGTCGCCGCCTAGCCGTCCGCCGTCAACGTCTAGTCGTCCGCCGTCGTCCTCCGGCCGCCTTCGTCCACCTTCTTCCGTCGGCCCTTCTTCAGTCAAGGTTATGTGTTCTGTTCATCTTATTTTGTAATATTTGATTAAACTTCCAAAAATGCATGATTGTATACTTAAATGCATGATAAGATGCATGATTTTTAGTTTCATATCATTTTGTAATCTTCAAAAGTTGTATGTATGATTTATTATATGCATGATTTGTAGTTTTGCATGATTATTTCGTTTTATATGTTTCGTATGCATGATTAATATATGTTCAAATGTAGATTATTTTATGTTTAATATATGGTCATATGCATGATTAATATATTTTCGAACTAATGCGTGCTTATACAATTAGTATCATGTTAAACATATATGTTTAGTGTTTGATTTGCATGCCTCTCTGCACTACTTTAAATTTTATTTCCGAAAATATTTAATTTAGGTTAATATTTAAAAAAAACTGTTTAAATAAATAGCCCCTCGTGTTAAATTTCCAAAAATAGTTTAACACGTTTAAATATAATTTCCGTAATATCCAATAACAAAATATTAAGCATTTAAATTTAATCCCGAAAAAAAATGGACGAAACATTGTTTTTATAATTTATCTAAAAAAAATCTGTTTTTATAAAAACTGTTTTTATAAAAACTGTTAATTAAAAACTGTTTTATTAAACAGATTTTTGTAAAAAACAGTTTTTGTAAAAACTGTTTTAATAAAAAGTGTTTTTATAAAAACTGTGTTTATAAAAACTGTTTTTATACAAACTGTTTTTATATAAACTGTTTTTATAATAAATCTAATAAAAACTGTTTTTATGAAAACTGTTTTTTATAAAAACTGTTTTTATACAAACTGTTTTAATATACTGTTTTTATAATTTATCTAAAAAAACTGTTTTTACAAAAATTGATATATATAAACTGTTTTATATAAAATGTTTTATTAAACAGATTTTTGTAAAAAACAGTTTTTATAAAAACTGTTTTAATAAAAAGTGTTTTTATGAAAACTGTTTTTATTAAAACTGTGTTTATAAAAACTGTTTTTATACAAACTGTTTTTATATAAACTGTTTTTAAAATTAATCTAATAAAAACTGTTTTTTTAAAAACTGTTTTTAATAAAAACTGTTTTTATATAAACTGTTTTAATATAAACTGTTTTTATAATTTATCTCAAAAAACCGGTTTTACAAAAATTGATATATACAAACTGTTTTATATAAAATGTTTTATTAAACAGATTTTTGTAAAAAACAGTATTTATAAAAACTGTTTTAATATAAAGTGTTTTTATAAAAACTGTATTTATAATAACTGTTTTTATAAAAACTGTTTTAATAAAAACTGTTTTAATAACAACTGTTTTAAAAACTCTTTTATTAAACAGATTATTTTTAAAAATAGTTTTTTGTAAAACTTGATTTAACAAACTGTTTTAAATTTATTTTAAAATGATATATCTAAAACATAAAAAAATGATCTCCTCTCATGTAAACTTTGCAAAAAGTTTAACATGTTACCTCCAAGTGCAATTTATTACCAAATTATTTAAGAACTTATTATGAAAAAATATGGACCCCTCATATTAAACTAAAAATAGTTTAATATGCTATACACATTTTCAATTAATAATACTTGTATAAATTTTTATAGTGAAAAATAATAAATATACCCCAAACTTTAATGGACCTTTAGTAAGCACACCTCAAACTTTTATAAGCGTTCTAACAAAAAATAAAATAAATTAATATATTTTAGATGAGCAACGAACAATCGACCTCGGCTCCCCGCCCTAACTATGCGCCTATGTCCGAAGCGGAGCGCAACAATGATGGAGCTGTTTGGGTGACGCCTGCAGATGTTCTTTTGTAAGTAGTTATGAAAAACCTTATTTTCAATAATTTTATATAATGTTAAATAATCAAACCAAATTTTATATAAATAAATACTATTAATTTTTTTAAGTGACGAACACGGGTTCACGGGCATCAAAAACATCATCGGAGGACACTTTCTTGGCACTTGGGCCACATTGTCAGATGTTGACCCCAAGGTTCGCGAACTATGGTGGAACCTGTTCAAGGTAAAAATAAATGAATGTTCCCTTCCTGATTGTATTGGCCTAATACTTGGTGATTAATTAATCCAATTTGTTTTAATAAAGGCTCGCTATCGTTGGACTCACGCAAACGGTGCCGATATTCTTAAAGCCTACAATGCTAGGATTTCGACCTGGCTTCGCGCCACTTTTAAACGTGCGCGAAAAAGTGGGAAAAAGCCTAGATGGGTTTCGGATGAAGTGTGGTCCAACCTTTGTCGCCACTGGTCTTCTGATCCGAAATTCTTGTCCAGAAGTGAATCCGGTAAGAAAAACCGGATGTCCGAGAAGGCCTTGGAGATGCAGTGGCACGGAGGTCGTAAATCTCAGAATGCCCATAAAGAAACTCTTGTAAGTGCTATTCAAAAAACCTTACAACATCACATTCCTTCATTATAAAAAATTTAATTTAAGTCTTTTTCACACCATTTAGGCTGGTCCTGAGAAGAAGAAGGTTGATGTTCTCCGGCTCGTCAAGCATTGCTGGACGAAGCACGGCGAGGAATCTGAAGCCGATTTGCCACCCCGCCTCGCCGACTTCGAAGTATGTAACATCATATTTTGTTATTTAGTAACATTTCAAATCTAAGTATGTAGCATTTAAAAAATCTTTTTGAAAATGCAGACGAAGTACAACGAATCCCTCGACAGGCAGCGTGCGGCACGAGGCTTGACCCAGGAGGACGACCTCGATTCCGATGCGGATGATGAGGCGGCCATTGAGGCGGCCGGGGTTTACAAGGGCCGGGTTCCGTGCTTGGGGGCTGAGGGGCAACGGATTTTGTATGATCGAAGCACCGGCGCTTCCTCTTCTCGGTCAAGGCGGGGAGAAGATCCCCGTATTGCCACAATGCAGCGTGAACTAGAGGAGCACGAACGGCGATGGGAGGAGCAGCGGAAAGCAGATGCTGCCACAAAAGCCCGGTTGGAGGAGATGGAACGGTACATGCGTGCCGGATTCCAGCCTCCGCAACAGCCTTTTCCTCCCCCGTACGTATTCCACCCTGAGCAAACTCCTCAAGTTCCGCACATGGGCGGTATGGGATTTTTCCCCAACTCCGGATATGGTGGCATGCCTATGATCTCCCCGAATTTCGGTTCTATGTCCTTTGATTTTGCGAGGTCATCCGGAGGAGGTAGTGGCACACCGAGCCACGGAGGCCGAGGAGCACCCCGAGGAGGACCCCGAGGAGCACCCCGAGGAGGAACCCGACCTGACCCTGAAGATCCCCCCGTGAACCCAGATGAGTTTCTTGTTGATGATGAAGAAGAAGAAGAAGAAAATCCCAATTTTTATCATAATGGAGTCCCACGGGACATGTAATCATCATACATTTATTACTTGTTGTATTTCAAAACTTTTAAAAGTTTGTCACAATATTTATTGAATTTGTTGTATGTCTTTACTCTTAAAATGTATTTATTTTAAAAAAAATAGTATAATATTTTCAATAACTCATTTTTCAAAAAACATTTTGAAATTTAATTTGTAAACGCCCGTTTTTAAAAAAGTAATTTTAAGAAAGTAATTTTGAAATTCAATTTGTATACTATTTTATAAAAAATAGTATAATATTTTCAATAACTTAAAAAAAAAAAAACGAAAACTAGATTTTTTTTTTTAAAAAACAAAAAAAGTAGTCACGGGCTTATCCGTGACTATTATTAATCCGAAATTATTATTTTTTTAAATAAAAAACCAATTAGTCACGGTCGACACCCGTGACTAATTTCAAAAATTTAAATTACCGCCGCGGGCGGTCTTTTAAAAATTTTGAAAATTTGAAAGATTAGTCACGGTCCAAAGCCGTGACTACTAAAATTAATTTTTAAAAAAACTTAGTCACGGTTTCAGACCGTGACTAATACGCCGGAGTGGGGTTCCGGCGGGTATTATAGTCACGGCTTCTGACCGTGACTAGTCCGTGACTAAATTTAGTCACGGTCCGTTGGACGTGACTTCAATTTAGTCACGCCCATTACGTCACGGATTTAGTCACGGCCAGCGACCGTGACTACATCATTTAGTCACGGAAAAATTGAACTGCTGTCCGTGACTAAGTCCGTGACTACGACCGTGTTTTTTTGTAGTGCCTATTTCAGAAAGAAAAACATAAGAGTTCTATTTTATAATTTCAAATCTTAGGATGTTTTCTTTTGGACTGTTTTCAGTCTCAGATCAGATCAGACTAAATCAGATCAGACTAGAATAGACTAGACCAGACCAGACTAGATTTCCGTAGTTATAACACAAAGACCAGACGTTTATCAGGTCAAACCAAACCAGACCAGCAAATTTCAGTCTAAAAGAATACATCCTTATTTATACGGATTATCTATTTCGGAAACTTTTCCAAAATATTTCTATTTCTTATGTTTCTTTTTAGAAACTAGAAATCGGCAGTTAAAAATGGCGACATAATCGGGTGTTGCACTGTTGCGGTCCTACCATTTATGCCTTTGTTAACCTAATTATATCTTAGTAATAATCTCCTTACTTTATTTCAAAAAAAAAAAATCTCCTTAAGTCTCCAATTCCTCCATTCCTCCAAATATAATCTCGTTAATTCTCTTCTCATTTATCGCGCGCCACAAATTCTTCTTCGTTATTATCAGTCTATCACGAACATCTTTATGTTTTGAATGGCTTCCGAGTCCAAAATCATAACTTATAGATCTCGCAGAAGCAAGCCTGCTATGGATCTAATGAGTCAACTACCCAACGATGTAAAGGACAGAATCATGGAGTCGCTGGACACTCGAGACGCTGCACGGATGGCTCTTGTTTCAACTCAATGGAAGAATGTTTGGTTGCAGCATGACCGGCTTGTGTTCGATCAGGAGTTTTTCGGATGGATTGCACAGTGCCTAAGCCTCGATGATGATTTCTCGGCCGCCTTCAGCGTGATGAATCATATTCTGATGCTCCGAGTTGGACCGATTAAGATGTTTGTGCTAGAGGTTTCCTCCTGGAATCCCACCCCGCTTCAATCCGATATCGATAGGTGGTGCATTTATCTGTCCAGAAATGGTATTGAGGAACTTCATCTCACCATCTTTGAATCCATATCCTCCCCTGGTGTACCTAAAAAGCTGCCGGTTTGTATAATCTCGTCTCCGACGCTTATACACCTCGAACTTGATGGTTTCACTTTTGCTTATCCAGCTAAAGCAAGTAATTTTTTCCCTGTTCTCAAATCATTGGAATTTCGGTCTGTTGATTTTATGCCTAGTGTTAGTGGGATTGTTTTTGACATTCCAAATCTTGAGCATTTGGCTTTCTATTTGTGTGATAATATCCACAACTTTGTGATCAAAGCTCCAAAACTGAAAAACTTGATTGTTTATCCTACTTGGAAATTTGATAAATGGAAATGGTTTGAGCTTCATTTTCCAGTTATTCAAGCGCTTGTCCTGTCTACTCATTCATTCGCGGTGAGAATATTTTTCTTTAGTAATAGCTATTGATCTTTTATTATCATATTTCTTTGGAACTGTTTCAACGTGAAAGTGTTTGTTGCTTTTGCATCCTTATTTTTCTACTTTTTTGTAGTGTACGGATAGAGACATTGCCTTGGCGTTGCCAGCTGCATTAAATCTCCGAATGATTGAGCTCGATAACTTCAAGTTCATTTGGGGGAAGCACTTCGTTTTTGCACTTCTATTGATTCAAAAATGCCCAAAGCTAAGCAAACTGAAAATTGTTCAAGAAGAAGATGACATTGTAAGAACCCCCTCCCCTCCATAGGAAAAACGTGGTGATTTGGTGACTTTTTCTTCTGTTTTTCCTTCCAACCAATTCCTTGTAGGCTATATAACTAAGAATTGGTTTTTCTTTAAATGTTGTTGTGCAGCTTTGTTTTATGGAAAACGGAGAAAATGATGCAAGTCCAGAGGACTCAGAAGATTGGTTGATAAAAAAGGATTTGGAAATGCTTAAAACGCTGAAGGTGGAATCATTTTGTGGAACTAGACTCGAAGTGTTATTTATAAAAACAATCCTTTTAAAATCCCCAACACTTAAAGAAGTTATTATAGTGGAAGCGCGTGCTAATGTTGATGCCACTAAAGCTCTAAATATATCAAAGGAGGAGTTGTTGAGCTTTTCTTGCGCTTCTGCAAAAGCACAAATTGTCTTTCGGTAGTAACAGTAAGTTTCAAGTAAATGGGTTCCATTTTGATATATCATGCATGTGTTGGAACTTAGATGCAATGGAGAAAACATGAGTATGTGGTCTTGACATTATGTTTTAACATGATTATGATATCTTAGAAGTTGTGGGCTTATTAAGCATCATTGTACAGATTGCCAACTTAAAATAATTGAGGTCCCACCATCTTTTTCATATTCATTTGCTCTGTTTCTATGCATGTATTTATGTGTCAAAAAAATAATTTTAAAAGGCAAAGGATCAGTGAACTAAAACATGTTTTTAAAGTTCAATGGGTAAGACATGAATAGGTGCTTTATTTCCAGAATACAAAAATAGGAACTAGATCAGCCATAGCTCATTTCGAAGGCTTTATGTTATGGAAAATATCTGTTTGCAGCTACAATAGACCAACGATCACTTTGATTCAGAATTTCAACTTCTGAATATAATGCTCATTGTTATTACTCCGTACTATAATAACCATTTACGGTCTGAAAATTCTCAAATTCTCAAAATGCTCATTCATTCTCCCTAAAGTTTGTCAACTTTTCTTATTTTGACAAACTCTCTATAAAGTGACAAATTTTTTGGTGATATTACTTCTCTCCTCTACAAAATTCACGTATTTTGTATTTTCTTATTCCATGTAGAAGTTAAGTTTTTTCCTTTTAGTATTCTTCTTTGCCTGGATATTTTGAAACGTCTTTTTTCATTATTTACCCTTATTCTTTAGTGTTACATTTAGTACAAATAGTCAGTAACAAACTGTCTTTTTACTTTTGCATTTTAGGCGTTTCGTAATATCTTTTCTAAAAGAGTATACCACAATTCATCCGCTACGACTAGTCCCGGCAATGGCGACAATTTCTCAGTGGTTAATACGCATCATGACCAGTGATGTAGGCAGGATACATCGCGCTGGGAAGGTATAGAGAATTTTACATAATATTTTTATATAATCTGTTTACAATATTTTTTTACAATTTAATTTATAATACTTTAATAAATAAAATAGAGTCATAGGAGAACACGTGAATATTGGAAAAAGTCCGATGTTTCATTTAAAAAAGAACGGAGGGAGTACATTTGTGCTGAATGATCCAGCCTGTCGGTAGACACGTGGATTGTTCGATGGGCCGCACTGCCGCACTGACTACCCGATGGTTAAAGTCCCCAGTCAACATGCAAGGCAAAGGATATACAGTTCAGTATATTAAAGCCAAAAGCAGTTCCATGTCAACCCAATTCACCATTAGTCGTTAGTATGTATAGGATGGTTCGGTACGGTATACCGTATATTTTCTCTCATACCTTTATCCTACCAAAACTTTTGGTATACTGAATTTATATACCGTTACCTTACCAAAGTTTCGGTTCGGTAGCAGTACGGTATCGGTAAATTATCATGCATGTCTCTCAATACACCAAATTATCATAGACTAACAAAATATACTAAATCAGTGTTACTTGCGACATATTTCATCCATTATTCAAATGTTAAAAAGTACAATTAATCTATTGATGTTTTGTTCAATATCGAACAATAATAATTAATAGTATATTTAAACAATTCCGGTCTCATTTCCGGTCTTAGATTAGCCGATTATTCTTTTAGGTTTGGAATCCGGAAAAAACCAAAAAAATAAAATAAAACTAGTCTAGACCCACAACTAAAACCAGACTGCCAGGGTACCAGTACTGGTCCAAACACAAACATGGTAAATATTAGGTTGGTACCGGGCCAACCAATTGTTTTTTTGGACCAGACGGTCTCGGTATGGAACTGGGATCGGACCGATTCGACTTCATCCCTAACTTAAATAGATTATGAAACAAGCTTTATTTTAGTCGTAAATATATAATTATTTCTTGGTATTATATTATTATATATGACATATGTTGTAGTAATAATAGTAGTATTGATCATAATCATCGTCATTACTATGTAAGCAACAGTGCCGACCTGGCGGAGTCCAATCTAGACGCAACGGAGATGTCGGCCTGAGAGCTACGGAGTGAAGATGACTCTCATGCTGGACTCTCATCATCTCCATCTACCCCATCTATCCCACCTCCAAACCTTTGCCATTGGGAATTCGGATTCATCAATTATCATCCCATCCCCCAACAGTGAATTGTTAGGGTGACATGGATTTTAACGGTGCTCCAATAGTACCTTTATTAAGCTCTCAATTCTTGCCGCTGTACTGCGGAAGAAGACGAAGATTATGTGCAGAATTTTATCAAACACTTTATCTTTTACATCTTAACTAAAATCGCTTCTATTCCCAAACATACTTATCTTTACTATAAATCACTTTTGCAATAATCTCTTAAAAATCCACTTTTAAAAAGTACAAGCAATCGCAAAACACTCCCTAAGTTAGTCGGGTGGTTCTTCATTTCTGTGTCAAACCTTAGTGTTGCAATGTTGCAATTATATCAGAATGGAGGGAGTATGTTGTATTTTTATACTGTATACGAGTCATTTTTTAATGTCTAAAATGTATGATCATATGAGTAGTGTGTGTATGTGTTGTATAAGATGATCTGTTTTTAGTTGTTTGAACCTGAATGAAGCAATAAAATATGAGTTGTGTGTAAATTTTAAATTGTACTCCCTTCATCCCGGATAGTACTTGAGTACTTGACGCCTGCTTTTGGCACGATATTTTAGGAGCTCAATTAATAGAAGAACAAGTGTCTTGCATGTCTTTTGACTTTTGGGGGAATTAATACTATCCACTGAAATGTAAAAAGTGAGTGGATGGTGAGGGTAGTTAGGACATTTAATGTAAAGGAAGTTGGCTAAAAAGGAAACGTAAAGGATTAAATGAGATGTTTCAAACAGAAAAGTGTAAAAATTTAAATGGCACGCAGGAAGTATGTTTTATTGAATAAAATGTTTGAGCATATGAGTAGAGTGTGTATGTGTTGTGTAAGATGATGAGTTTTGTAGTTTTTTATGTTGTGATTTTTTTGTGGTTTTATGTGTGTTGGTACTATGCTATTTGTTAATTATCAGAAAGTGGTGGAAATTGTGTGCGCGCACAAACATACGTTTGTTAATTATCAGAAAGTGGTAGAAATTGTGTGCGCGCACAAACATACGTTGTTGTAACATACAGAATATGTTGTACTTCGTATTTTTTTTATTTATTGTATACTTGTGATTTTAGTGTATAAAATGCATGACACATGTTGAATATCATGTGTAGAGTAAGAGTCTGATATAGGAGCCAATGTTATGAACCGTTTGAATGTCGGCATACTAGTATAGTAGTATTTTCAGACATTGGGTGAGCTACCCATTTTATATTAGGAGCATGAGACTTAAAGAATTTATATAGAAAGTAAAGTTTAAAATTTTAATGGATTTTATTACTCGTATAATTTATAAATATTGATACAAATTATGTACTTAATATTCTTTTTCTCGGGACACTGATATCTGAATTGACATTTTACTTTCATTAATGATTTTTTAATTTCAAAGAAAATATTTATTTTAAAAAAAATTAATGAAATTATTTGAAAAATTGTTTCTAAATGGGAGTAAAAAAATCGAAATTCCAAAATATGATTGCTATGTTTTTCTTTACGAAATAAGAATTGGAATTGTCATGATTGAAAATTAATGACAGTAATGATGGTAAATAATGTCATGTTTAATGCCTATTACTGCACCTATTTGGTGGTAAAAAAGATGACAGTGAATATTGACAGATTATTCTTATTTCGTAGACATAAGTGTTCTATTTTATAATTTCAAATCATATGGTGTTTTCTTTTGGACTGTTTTCAGTCCCAGACGAGACCAGATCTGACTAGACCAGATCAGACCAGATCAAACTAGATTTCCGTAGTTATAAAATACACGGAGACCATACTTTTACCAGATCAGACCAGACCAGCAAATTTCAGTCTAAAAGAAAACATCCTTATTTATACGTAGTATCTATTTGGGAAACTTTTCCAAAATATTTCTATTTCTTATGTTTCTTTTTAGAAAACTAGAAATCAGCAGTTAAAAATGGCGACATAATCTGGTGTTGCGGTCTACCATTTATATCTTTGTTAACCTAATTATATCTTAGTAATAATCTCCTTAATTTATTTCAAAAAAAAAAATCTCCTTAAGTCTCCAATTCCTCCATTCCTCCAAATAATCTCCTTAATCAGTTAATTGTCTTCTCATTTATCGCGCGCCACAAATTCTTCTTCGTTATCATCAGTCTATCACGAACATCTTTATGTTTGAATGGCTTCCGCGTCCAAAATCATAACTTATAGATCTCGCAGAAGCAAGCCTGGTATGGATCTAATGAGTCAACTACCACATGATGTAAAGGACAGAATCATGGAGTCTCTGGACACTCGAGACGCTGCACGAATGGCTCTTGCTTCAACTCAATGGAAGAATGTCTGGTTGCAGCATGACCGGCTTGTGTTTGATCAGGAGTTCTTCGGATGGATTGCGCAGTGCCTAAGCCACGATGATGATTTCTCGGCCGCCTTCAGCGTGATGAATCACATTCTCATGCTTCGAGTTGGACCCGTTAAGATGTTTGTGCTTGAGGTTTCCTCTTGGCATCCAACCCCGCTTCAATCTGATATCGATAGGTGGTGCATTTATCTGTCCAGAAATGGTATCGAGGAACTTCACCTCACCATCTTTGAATCATTCCACACTCCTATACCTAAAATGCTACCGGTTTGTATAATCTCATCTTCGACACTTATACACCTCGAACTTGATGGTTTCACTTTTGCTTATCCAGCTAAAGCAAGTAAATTTTTCCCTGCTCTCAAATCATTGGAATTTCAGTCTGTTGAGTTTATGTCTAGTGTTAGTGGGATTGTTTTTGACATTCCAAATCTTAAGCATCTGGGTTTCCATTTGTGCGATGATATTCACAATTTTGTGATCAAAGCTCCAAAACTGAAAAACTTGATTGTTTATCCTATTTCGAAATTTGATAAATGGAAATGGTTTGACCGTTTGAGCTTCATTTTCCAGTGATTCAAGCGCTTGTCCTGTCTACTCATTCATTTGCGGTGAGAATATTTTTCTTTAGTAATAGCTATTGATCTTTTTTTACTCTCCTTGGAGCTGTTTCAATGTTAAATGTTTGTTCCTTTTGCATTTTTATTTTTCTACTTTTTTTATAGTGTACGGAGAGAGATATTGCCTTGGCGTTGCCAGCTGCATTAAATCTCCGAATGATTGAGCTGGATAAGTTCAAGTTCGTTTGGGGGAAGCATTTCATTTTTGCGCTTCTATTGATTCAAAAATGCCCAAAGCTAAGCAATCTGAAAATTGTTCAAGAAGAAGATGACATTGTAAGAACCCCCTTCCCCTCCACTGGAAAAAAATGTGTTGATTGGTGATTGTGACTTCTGTTTTTGTTTCCAACCAATTCCTTATAGGCTAATAACTAACAATTGAGTTTTCTTTAAATGTTGTTGTGCAGCTTTGTTTTATAGAAAACGAAGAAAATGATGGAAGTCCAGAGGACTCAGAGGATTGGTTGATAAAAAAAGATTTGAAAATGCTTAAGACGCTGAAGGTGGAATCATATTGTGGAACCAGACTCGAAGTTTTCTTTATAAAAACAGTCCTTTCAAAATCTCCAACACTTAAACAAGTTGTTATAGTGGAATCACGTGCTAATGTTGATGTCACCAAGGCTCTAAACATGTCAAAGGAGGAGTTGTTGAGCTTCCCTCGCGCTTCTGCAAAAGCACAAATCATCTTTCGATAGAGAAAGTAAGTTTCAAGTAGATGGGTTCCGTTTTGGTATATCATACATGTGTTAGAACTTAGATACAATAGATAAAGCGTGGGTATGTTGTTTTGTCAGTATGTTTTACAGTTTTAGCATGATTATGATATCTTAAGAGATGTGAGCTTATTAAGCATCATAGTACAGATTGCCAACTTAAAATAATTGAGGTTCCACTATCTTTTTATATTCATTTGCTCTATTTCTATGCATGTATTTATGAGTCAAAAAAATAATTTTAAGGCAAAGGATTAGTGAACTAAAACATGTTTTTAAAGTTATGGGTAAGACATGAATAGGTGCTTTATTTACAGAATACAAAAATAGGAACTAGATCAGCCATAGTTCATTCCGAAGGCTTTATGTCATGGAAGATAGCTGTTTGGAGCTACAATAGACCAACGATCACTTTGATTCAGAATTTCAACTTCTGAATATAATGCTCATTGTTATTACTCCGCACTATAATAACCATTTACGGTCTTAAAATTCTCAAATTCTCAAAATACTCATTCATTCTCCCTAAAGTTTATCAACTTTTCTTATTTGACAAACTCTCTATAAAGTGACAAATTTTTTGGTGATATTATTTCTCTCCTATACAAAATTCACTTATTTTGTATTTTCTTATCCCATGTAGAAGTTAAGTTTTTCCTTTCAGTATTCTTCTTTGCCTGGATATTTTGAAACATCTTTTTTCATTATTTACCCTTATTCTTTAGTGTTACATTTAGTACAAATAGTTAGTAACAAACTGTCTTTTTACTTTTGCATTAAAGGCTTTTCGTAATATCTTTTCTAAAAGAGTATACCATAATTCATCCGCTATGACTAGTCCCAGCAATGGCGACAATTTCTCAGTGGTTAATACGCATCATGACAGTGATGTAGGCAGGATACACCGCGCTGGGAAGGTATAGAGAATTTTACATAATATTTTTATATAATCTGTTTACATTATAATTGAAATCATTTTTAAAATTTAGGGTGGGCCGAGGCCTAGTATTCCTCCAACTATGCCCTTGAGCAGGAGTGGCTAGGCTTCTCCACTTGTAACATAAATTGTGCAATCTCTTGCGGGTGTGTATTGAACATTGCCCATTGAGGATGAAGAAGATCAAGGGCTTGTGTTCGATGACAAACAGATGAGTGTGGCGAATTAGGTTATGAAACAACCTTATGACTGAACTTAGGGGTGGACTCTGTCTGATGGTCCGGCCCGGTTCGAAACCAGGTCCGACACTATTTGGGAGTGGACCGGGTTAGAATTTCCGGTTTCGGGCCTATGAGTGGCCCTGTCCGCCCAAGAATGGTTCACGGTCCTGATTTACACTCTTGATTCACCTAGTTGGGAACCAAATCAGGTGGTTTGGGTCCCATTTTCGGTTTGAAAAACCAAAAAGGAATGCTCTAAAACCATTTTGCCCTAAAAACCCAAATCACTTAACCTATACATTACTAACCGAAAACAGCTTTCAAATCCTACTTTTTTCTAAATTCATCTATATTGCACATTTCCAATATATTTCATAGATTGTGATGGCAGAATGTGTTGCAGTCTATGTGGAGTGATTTTAGTACCTATGTGTGGCGAACAATAGGATTGTTTTCTTTAGATTATTTTTCAGTTAATTTAGTGTGAAATTCAATTACAAAATCGTCCTTTTGACAATCTATATGTTTCTTAAAATGGATATTTATCGAAGGGTTGTTTTAAGGAATAGTCTGTCTATTTTTTCCATCTTCTGGTGATTTTGGCTACTTTTTGCATCTATAATGATTTCACCAAGGTAAATTGAAGAATATGAAAGTCAAACATGAAACATGAAATTTATGATAAAACCCTTTTTTCAAATTTTAATTGTTTATTGTCAATTTTGCTTGTTCCCAATTGTGAATAGACTTCAAGCATTGTTATTTTTATATCTGGTTTGTTTGTTTTTTTGATGAAATGTTGTGTTTTCTATTTCATCCATTTGTGCTTAGAATGCACTCAAGTTTTTCTTGTCATATCAATAATCGATAAGGTTATTGTTTGGTTTCTTTTTATTTAGTTTTTTATATTTATTTCATATTTAGATCCTTTACAAATTACAAAGAAGAGTTGTCACAATATTGTACTTTTAAAAGAATCAATCAAATTCTCGAACTTTGAAAAAGCGTTTAATCAAGTACATTTTGAAAATTACTTGCCATGTCAAGCAGGTCACCCGATGATGTGGCACACACATGGCGGTTCACGTATGAGCCACGTCATCAAAAAAAGGCTGATGGGACTTCCACATGTGTGCCACGTCAGGAAAATTATTACTGAATGGGCTGCCACATGAGCGCCACGCTAGTGGATGACCTGTTGACATGGCAAAATGGACTCAATTGAATGTTCTTATAAAGTTCGGGGATTTGATTGATCTTTTTAAAAGTACGAGGATCGAATTGACTTTTTCATGAAAGTACGAGGACCAAATTGACAGTTTCCCCTTATTATTATGATGCAGATTTACACATAAGGTGAAAAGTGGAAGCAAAATCAATTGTATTATTTTTTAATATTGACCATTGAGGCTAGAAGCAGAAGATAAATCACCCGACATTATTTATTGAAATATTATGGTGTCTTTGCTATTAACAAGCATGCATTATACTGGGACAAAAAAAACAAGCCTACACAAATGGTGAGTTTTGTTTGAATTTCTTCTTGTCCAAAAGTTACATTTTCGTGTAGCATCACTACATATTGGTCCCATCCTAAACATGATGACGGGTTGCAAAGAGTTATGTCATGTCACTATTTTGGACGCTATAAACCTCTCTGAATAATTTGCTCTTCTTCCGTGATTACCTTATTTTGTTCAACTATAGAAGACTGGACATGAACATTTCTTCTTCGAAGTGCCTTCAATGAAAAGGAACCTTGTAAATTCAGACTCATAGTTTGTAGCTCTCCCACTAAAAAATTCATTGAGTTGGTTTTGTTTCTTCATCTCAATCTTCAAATTAAAATACTATTTTTTTTGTTCATTTTTAAATTTTTTATCATGTTGTGCTCTTAAACAAAATGAGTTTGTTACTGTTGTTCATAACTATTAATAATAACTTTACTAAAACTGATATTGTTCCCGGTGGACATCCGGATAGACAGAAGCCTCTGTCTGGCCGAGACCATCAGAGGTTCTTCCTGTTGGAATTTTTTGATAAAATTTTTTGAGCATGTTTTTCATGAAGTCTAGTTTATCCATACCGAATTTTAGCTAAAAATTCAATCGAGAAGACACTCAAATGATTTTTGGAAGATGACTGTGTTTTATATGTATATAAAGTGCACCGTTAACTTCCAAAAATCATTTGACTGTCTACCTGATTGAATTTTTAGCTGAAATTTGGTATGGATAAACTAGACTTCATGAAGAACATGCTCAAAAAATTTCATCGAAAAATTCCATCGGACAGAGCCTCCCGTCCCTCCGGATGGACCTGAGCATTCCTCTTGTTCTTACCTTCTAAAAGATTCTTTAGAACTAATATATTGTCATTGTATTTTTGCAGCATCATCCTTAGGGGCGGCCCTGATAGTTTCAAGACCTAGGAGCAAATAGTTTATAATGGGCCTAATTTTAAAAAAATATTAATTTCCTTTTTGTCTAATCTAATCTAATATAATGCATAACAATAATACTTCAAAAATTGTATAGTAAAGAAAAGACTTTTATAATTCGGTTTATTAAGCAAGTAAAATTATAGATAGAGAACATTTTTGTTACACCTTGAGATTTATTACATTTATAAATGTAATGAAAATCCATTTTTTACTCAAGATCATTAAGTCAATTTAATCAATATTTGTATAAAAAAATTTGTTACACTTTTAAAACTATCATGGGATTTCACGATCAATAAGTCAAAAGCTAAGTGACGAATCAACAAAGTAGTAAATTCAATGAAAACTAAAAAATCCATGATAACTCTTTTTAAAATAAGGAAGAGCATAAATGCAAAATATACAAAGACATAAGAGTAATAAAAGATATAGAGGACTTGAGGTTATCAGGAGTTAGATAGAATCCTATGTTCGGATTATGAAGGATAAAAGGCTCAAGAAGTTGATGTATCCACCATCTATGATCTATTGGGTATTGACCCATAGAAGTTTATAATGAGGAATTGGAATATTGAGGTTAGAACTTTGAAAAGTGAGGGCCTAAATGACGCTTTAGTGATGGGCACAAGCCCCCCAACAGAGAGTCCTGTCTTTTTCTTAGAAAAAATGTTTACGCCTTCAGAACTCTTTTCCCTATACCGCATGAGATTAGTGGATATGGCATAAAATCTCAGCCTACTCACTATTAATACAAAGCCTTAAGACTGGGCCTAAATTTTTTACACTTTTTTTGGGCCTAGGGCGCCCGTCATTGCTGCACCCCCCTAAGGCCGCCCCTGATCACCCTCCTTATCTATCACAAGACCGCATGAAGCAATGCATTTTACTCCTTATTTGATACATCAGTTTTTTGTCCCTAATTTCAATACCAGAAAACTGCTCATGGTGCCATTTAGTTTGACTTGTTTTTCCTTGTTTTCTCTTGTCTTCATAAACTTGCACTTTCATTTAAGTTTAGTTATTAAAGAGTTTAATAATTGTGCTTAACAATTAACTAGTATAGTACTTGTGCGATGCACGGGTGATTATATCAAACATATTGTTATTACTCCGTATAAAAAATTAAAGTAAATACAACAATAATAGGAAATCTGATAAAAGTCATATAATAAATATGTGTGAAAATATATTAAACACTGAATTTCATGAAAAATTAGCCTCAATAGTAGTACATATGTTGAAACTCCAAGATATGATTATCATGTTTTTTTTCAAAATAGAAGTAATTATTATCATATGTTGTCATGTTGACAGTATTAGAATTTTAACGTGAAATTATTTCTTAATTTAGCAATAATTACTCCTATTTTGAAAAATAAAATATGCGAATGCTACTTCTACTTTGGATTTTCCAAGATTTTTTTACTCAGTTCTTATCTCAAGAATTTTCCCAAATTGTACAATTTTCTTGATATACAACAATTGTCACACATAAGAACCTTCAAATCAATGGGAGTTATTATTATGACATACGAAGTATAATAGAGCAACGTAGATACAATGTTTCTAAAGAGAACATG